TTTTCTAAAATGTTTATGTCTTTCGTAAACATGGCTTTATTTTTTTTACTTTTATATACGAATAAGGGTTTAATTATATTGTCGGGCTTAGGTGAAAGAGGTCTAAAAGAAGAGAGAGATAGTCATGACGGGTGGCAAGGTTTACTGTTGAGAGCTGAGTCAATCCAATTGCAAGAGGGGTCCAGAAGGAGGAAAATCTTGCTATAGCAGATCGAACATAGGTACCAAGTTGGTAACCGGGTTAGTTGTAACTTGTAATTTAGGTAGCACTAGGTAGAATATTAGATAAGACACTTGTTGTTTAGAGATAGTTCTTATATACTATCTGCTGACTTGTTTAGAGTTTATCACTCACCAGTTATAAATCCTATCCGTAAATTATAGCATGACTGCCGAATCATAAAAAAAAAAAAAAAAAGAAAGCTATAAAGCTTCACCCAAAGCCAATTTTAATCATATTAGTATCTATTTTCTCGTAAATAGAATTTAGTAATAAGCATCTAATTTCATTTATATTCATTTTCTAATATTCTTTATTTCAGCAAATATAAACCGTTAATTTGATAGTGCAAGTACTGTTTGAATAATCATAGTAATTTTAAACTAAAACCTCTATGAATTCATTGAAGTGCAAGTGTGTTGTTTTGTCTGTGAGTTCATTAAAGTGCTAGTGTGTAGTTTTGTTCATAACTTCGTTAAAGTGCAAGTGTGTAGTTTTGTCTGTAACTTTGTTAAAGTATAAGTTTGTAGTTTTATCTATAAGTTTGTTGGTATAAATATGTGGTTTTGTCTATGAGTTTGTTGATATAAGTTTATAAATTTGTAAGTTCATTGAAGTACTAATATGTAGTTTTATCTGTGACTGCAAGTGTGTGGTTTTATTAAAGCTGTAAAAAGTGAAGTTCTTAATCACCTACCACATCTGCAATATTGATATTAGGTTTTTATTTTGAAGTCTGAACTATGAGTATTGCTTTACTGTTTTAAAGTTTCATTTGAAAGCTATAAAGCCTTACCCAAAGCTAACTTAGTACCTTTTGCTTGTAAGTATAATAATTGTTGTGAACTGTCTTATTTTGATCATAATCCTTTTTCTGATGCTTTTTATTTTAACAAGTGTGAATTTTTTATTTGATAGTATATCAATAACCTTCAGATTTCGCAATTGTAATATTGTTGAAGTGCAAGTAGTAGTTTTGTTAAATGTTGAAATAAAGCTATAAAGAGATAAAATCTTTATTGCCTACTATATTTTTTTTTAAATAAATTTAGCAATCTTGTTAACACTTTATTAATATAATATACAAGCTTACAGAGGAGTATAATATATTGACTGAAGTCTATCTAATTTCTTTAAGTATTTGCTAACTCAACTCTTTGTAATACCAAGAGTGTCTAAATTGCTCATGTTCAATCTGCTATAGTAAAGTTTATCTCTATATCGACCATTTTGCAACTAGATATTTCGATACTTTTTTGAATAGATTTATAGCCTATTAAGATTGTCTCCTTTTCTAACCTTCTTCTTCTAGCTTCCTGAGCAAAAGAATTCATAGTCTCCAACTGATTTATAAAAAAAAATACTAAAACTAAAACAAAAAAAAAAAAAACAAAAGAAGGAAAAGAAAAAGTGCTAAAGCAAAAGAAAACGAATAGCAAAAAACAAATAAAAGAAGAAAAAAAAAGCAAAAAAAAAAAAATTTATAATAATACTATTATAGCCTGTGCTAGGCATAAATTATATACTAAAACTAAATTTTGTATATCTTTAAGCCTTATTATTAAATTTTCTTCCAATTTATAATTCTGAGATTTGACTAAAACTCTTAACCGAAGTGCTAATATTACATTACGTAATGTAGAGTCACTATTGAAACAAATATATATAAGTTTGCCAATTCTATGTTGTACTCTACTAAGTCTATCCAAAAAAGAAAAGTAAACAAACACTGATCTTTTGGAGGTAGTAAGGGCGCTGACATTTATTATCTAATATCTATTTACTATAAAGACTTATTTTCTATCTTCAGATAAGATATTTAGCTAAATTTGATTAGCTATAATTGTTTTATATAAGGTAAGGTTTTGCTTAACCTCTATCTTCTAAATTATTATCTAATAAATATTAGTGCCTAAGCTAAAAAGCTCACTTTTGTCAAAAATTTTGATGAAATCAGTATAGATAAAAAAAAATTACTAGTTTTAAACCAAAGGAGTGTGTCTACTTTTCTTGCAAAATATATTAGTGACTTGTTAACTAAGCAAAGAGCAGATACTTAAAAAAAAATATTAACGAGTAAGTAATAAACTCTAGGCTTGTCAGCAAGTAGTATATGAGAACTACTTCTAAACAACAAGTGCTCTTCATTACTATAGTAAGTGATAAACTCTAAACTTGTTAGCAAATAGTGTATAAGAACTACTTCTAAATAACAGGTGCTAAAGTTCTCTGGCTTATCTTACTTATTACTTTTTCAACTAGTTATAATGTATTTATTATTAAAAAAAGCTTTTAGAAAAATTTGGAACAAATAATTATCAGAAAAAAGAAGACAAATTGCCTACTATATTTGCAGTATTAATATTAGAATTTTTATTAGAATCTAAATTAAAAGTATCTGATTTCAATAACTTTTTTCTAATGTTTATTTTAGCAGACATATTTGATAGTACAAGTACTTCTTGGATAAGTATAATAATTTTAAACTAAAATCTCGATTTTTTGAAAGACATATTTATTAGATAAAAACTAACTCAAGTTTATCTAATATTACAAACTAGATTTTTTTTGAGTTGTTATTTATGTTTTACTATAGATAAAAATCTGGATAATTTTTTAACTATAAATGAAAAGCCAGAAAATTTTCTTGTTATAAATGAAGAGAATGAAAACCAAAAATATTTTATAGATGAAGCATCAAATAATTTTATAAATAAAGAAGCCATAGATTCTGAATTTGAAGTAGGTTTGTTAAGAGTTTGTCTTAAATAATAAGAACAATGTTAAACATAATGTTAACATGTTAATATTTTTTAATTTGTTATTAATAAAGAGCTATAATGATATGCTATCACAAAATGAAATAGAATTATCATCCTTAGATAGCATCTATAATTTACACTAAAACAGTATTATTATAGAAATCTTAAAGATAATACAAAAATAATACTAGATGATATTTACAATATAGTACTAGTTTAACATAAATTATAGATACTGCTTTATTTTCTGAAAAAAATTTAGTACATAGAATGAATACGAGTTATTCCTCAATAAATAAGCAAAAAATAAAAGATTTTGTTTTATTAAAAGAGTTCTTTATCAAAGAACTTATTTATATGATCACGAAGGATTTTATAAATCAAATACTGAAAAAGATACAGTTACTAAAAAAACACAATGTTCTTATCTTGTCAATATCTTATACTCTAAAATTAACAATATAGAATGTTTCATATTTATTAATAAGATAAATAATACTTATAACTATTTATTAAACCAAAGTAAAATTATATTTGAAGATAGAAAACAATTTATTGCTAAAATACTAGTTGATATAAAATTTATAACTGAAAATTGCAAATTTGGAGCAACTATAAAAAAAAAGTTTCTAGAAAGACTAGCCGAACCACCAGGTAGACATACCAGAAAAAAAGATATATGCTTTAAAAGTATATACCAAGAGGAGGGCAACTATAAGATACTTAAAGCCTAGGCAAACTAACTTTTCCAGGTTGCCGGAGAAGAAACCAATAAAGAATTTGGAGATCTGAATATGGGTATTGAGGTTATGTGAACCAAACAAGAGCTGGTAATTGTAGAGATTCAATGGTTAGCCTTGATCCCAAGTATATGGATAAAGCTATGGTGTAATTACTAGTAAGTCTAAGTAGTTAAAACATGTGTAGAACATGTACTAGCTTAGCCAAATATTATTTCAGAGTAAAGTAGCCCTAGAGCCTAACTATAGCTTAGTTTATCAAAAGTTCCATATATGAAAATAAGTTACAATCAGAGAGTTTAAATAGATAACTCTGTAGTTTGGATTGCAGGTATGGCAGATAGTATAAAACTCTAAATAAAATGGTTTAGATATAGACTATTTAAATTAGATAACAAAGTGTATATGTGGCTTGTAGTAATTGTACTCAGTCAAAAAAACGTTATCTAGTTAACCGACAAGTATATCCGCGGGTTAACTGAGTGATTGATGGGTATACTCAGGTATAAAATTTTACCTGTTGTACTCAGTTAAGAACCCACTTAGTATCACCACCAAAATCAGGTATGTAAATGGAGTTTAAATTTATTGAATTCATTACCGATATTAAAATAGCGGCATTTATGTAAGAATAATAATAACAAATTTTTACAATGAAAATTTTTATTTCTTTGAATATCGTAATACAATATTTTCTAAAATAAACACACAACTTTATTCATCTTGTCAAATTACAAAACCAAAAACTGCATTTTAGAATAATAACAATCATGATTTTAAGTGTACAACCCGTGTAAATGAAAGCAAAAAACAGAAAAGTGAGGATCAAATTTTAAATGATATTCGTATGCAAAAGAAAATGCTATAAAATCTGAAATGCTTGAATATATAGTTTATAAAAAACTTATAGATATTGATGGAGAAAGTAATATATATATGGATCTTGAGATAGTTGTTGATATTTCAGTAATAACATAGATGAAGCTTTTGCAAGTTTATTGTCATTATATATAGCTTAAAATTTCTAAACCTAATATTATATTAATTTAGATTCAATGCACTTCTCAAAAATCCTTTCAGTATGGAAACTAAAAAACTTTATAGGAAAATATTCAAGTATCAAACTTAATCAATTATACAAGTCAATTTAACTAAACCTATTCGAAAAAATATTAGAACATTAATGATTTCGAACGAGCAAAAAAGCTTCCGAGGATGTAACAAAATACCTTTATTAGTAACATAAAAAATTCAAATTTGAAGCTTTATATGTGTATTAATTAAAACTTGAATTTGGATGTAAATTCATTCTATACATTTAAATTGAGTGTAATTATTTAGAACTTGTAGTGATAATTAAATAAATTCTAATAAGTTGAATTAATATAAAAAAACTTCAATTATTTCTTCAAAAATCTTGTGAGCTTGTGATTTTATTATTTTTATGCACAGATTGAAGTGATTACGTAGTGGCGATACTAGATGCGTTATAAAAGTACTCTTATCTGAGTATTAACTTGGTATACTTACTCGAGTAATACTTGGGTTTATCTACTTAAGTAATACTCGAGGAGATAGGTGTGGCGGCTTAGTGAAGTGGTCAAGTCGTCACCCTCTCCAAGTAGCAGGTCTAGGGTTCAAATCCCACGGACG